TTGTCAAGGCGAAGTACATGGGCATTCCGGCTGCTAGTAATTCACAGGGCATATGCAACTGTTATGGAAAGCCAGGCCTCTTCTCAATTGCATTTATAATTGGATTATGGATAAGACATACTTTATTATACCATCAGAGCCAAAGAGTAGGTTTTTAAATTATAAGTCTTTACCACATAGGGGAGCTGTAGTTTATAATCTTGATAAAGTGATAGATTTGGAACCAAATAACTACTTGCAACTTTGTTTCAATAATCGTAAAGAAAATGAGGGGAAATTGTTGTTTAGGGCGGACTAGAGGGATATAAAACTCTATTTGATTCCTAATTTTGTCATAATGTCAGCCTGAAAAAATGTTAGCTTAACTACTGAGGAAGTAGAACATCAAAACAACGTATGAACAGAGATTAATATTTTCATCAGTAATGCTTTCTTTTACAGAAATTTTGGATCCTCTTTCTAGAACTGGGTGCTACAATGTTTTGTACCCATATTATAATGTTTATGAGGCAGAACTACCGACCAATCCAGAAGAGAGATCAGATCACAAATCGACTGCAGAGGTCAATGCGCCCCAAAATATGGGCTCATTAAAAATATGGTTAATACAATATAGGCAATAGATAAGTCTAGAACACAGATTTCGCAGGTTACGAGTACTTTAAATCCATGCGTATGAGTAGAGAGTCAATACAAAGCAAAAAAACGGCCAACAAATTCGATTTACCGAAAGTCTCGAAAACTTACTTTACCTGAATCCATTGTATTGCAATCAATTGTAATGGAAAAATATAGGTTTGCCTTATCGACACTCCCAGTATAAATGTTGTATAAAGCAAGCCAAACCTTTCTTAAAAGTCACATTTACTATCTGACACAGGGCCACTCGTGTATCATAGTGGTAACATGCCGAGAGTATGGGCTTGGGTGTGACTCCCACTGGCAGCACAGATGAGACCAAGGTGAAATTTAAACTTCAGTCTGCCCTTGATGATAATACTTTGTGCGATGCTAGGCTATGCGAAATTCAACAAAAACATGAGGCCTCCTCAAATGATCGTGGGAAAATGTTAAATAACTAGAATTCTTAAAACAGTCAAAATCCTAAATAGAGGGGATAAGTGTAGAAAAGTGAGTGAGCAGAAGGTACAGCTAAGCAAGAGTAAGAGGCTTGAATGGCTTCGAGTCTGGTTAGAGATACCACACTTCACATGTAATTAACTCTGCAAAAAATATAATTCACATTATCGCATACCTAAACATGCGTAAATCTGTGAAGGTCATATGGTGGTTTATTTACGTAAGGCAACCTGTTTGCTTGGATTATAATGTAGGGGATTTTTTTAACAAGGTATATTTTTACGCTCTGACAATATCTGTCACAT